TATGAAATGCAGGCTTAATATAAGAAGACACTTAGGAAACACCTGTTGTACCTTCCTCTTACCAGAAATTAGGATCACAGGACTGGGCAGAAGATAGGATTAAAATATTTTAATATTCTATGATCAGGGCCATATTTTGTTCAATTTTATAACTCCTACAAGTCCTAGGGCAACGCCTGTCATGTCTATAGCATGAAAGCAGAAGGAGGGAAGGAGGAAGTGGGGTTTTCTCATATTTTCAATGTGAAGAGTGGAGAGTCAGTTCAGAGAGATGAAGCTCACATTTCTAAATACTTCTCATTTTGAGTGCTCATGAGGCTCTTTTTTCTCCTTCCCTCCTTTCTTCTCCCATAAACATCACCATGTCCACTGTATGTCAGGCATCTGCTATGAAAATTATACCACAAGCAAGCTCTGTAAGGACGGGAACATCACAGCATTTGGTGTGATGCTCCTCACATGTGACATTTTAAAATGCTGGTCCCTGACTGACTACATAAACTCAGAGGATCCTTTTCTTCTTGAATCCAAGGGAGTTTGTGAACTTGGAGAGAGTTGGGTTGTAACTGCCTAAAGTGTTTGACATTTTGAGAGGAAAAGAAAGAGATGAGAAATAGCTCAGCTTCTGCCCTAAACTGTCTCCTTGTCTAGTGGTGACAAAGCCAAAGTCTGCATAGCAATGCTGAACAATATATGTCTTTATATAAAATTGGGCCCAAGAGTGTGTGATTCAAACTGTAAGTATTCAAAGATTAGGAAACTTATTACAGGCCACATCAGAGCCCAGGTCTCCCCTCTGGGACTTGGGATGTTCTTTGTAGGACTGAGTACTTTAGGGATGAGGACTGTTGTCCAGCTCTGACTTGCGGGTTTGTATGCTGCTGGAGCGAGGCCAGGGCTCACTTGAGGACAGGTTCCCACCTCTGTCACTCTAGTCACCTTGAAGCTCAGACTTGTCAACCCAGGGGATACATTTGGACTAGAGTTTCTATTTGAAGAAGGTAATGCCACCAGCCTGCCAGGTGACAGAGCTCAGCAAAGTGTCATACTTGTGAGGATAAACCTGGGACCAGGGCTGTGTGCACATGTGTTGGTGATACTGCTTTCATGGGAGAGGCTGCCTTCTTTTCTCCCTGGGCAGGTAGGGTCAGCTTCATGACTTACCAAAGAGAGTGCTGGTTTGTTATTTATAAGTCATGGTAGATAGTCTCCTCTTTCCTTCTTCTGCATACAAGTGGCTGATACTTTCTTTATCCTGTATCTTTGTGGGGGTGTAAAAAATGATCCCCGTTCATTAGCATTTTCTTCTTATTAGCAATTCTTCTTTATCCGTCACCTACTCTCTTATAATACTGGGCAGGAGTGCGTTCACTCAAGACTCCACATTTGTGTCAGCATACAGCTAAAGCTGTGAGTGGCTGTCAAAAGCATTGTGAAGCTCTGTGAGTAGGTAGTCTGGCCTCCAACATTAAGGATTTTCTAGTTGCTGCTACCGCACACAGATGAGTGTATGTGTTTGTTAACCAAGTTCATAGTGAAACTGCAGCTCCCCCACTGATCCTTATCCTAGGCTAAGATGACTCCTCTCAACCCTTGGGGTGGAGGAGAAGGAGGGCCAGGGTCTTTTGTTTAGTGTGTTAATTTAAGTCTTCCAAGAAGCAGATGCTGGAAAGAGATTAGTTGTACAAAAGATTTATTAGGGGAAATTCCTTTGAGGAAAAATGGGGAGGGAGACTGAGGATGCTGGGCCAGCTGTCAGGCCTTGATGCAGCCCCATCCATCTCCTGTGGAGAGAGGGAAGGACAGGAGGCTGGGGAGGAAAAGGTTTAAGCTTCAGTGCAGTTTTAAAAAAGGTTTGACAAGGCTCTTACAGAGTCTTTGAGCCCTGGTGGCCCTTCAGAGGCCTGCTCAGTGCCCCTGATGAGATCGGTCGTTGGCTGATTTCTTAAGTTCCTCCAGTGAGCCTCTTCCCAAATGCTGGACCCCATGATGGCACAGAGCGCCGGGCATGGCCATTTAGATTTTGATTCACTGTATGAATTTAACCACAGAAACCCAGGTACTGAGCACTTGTTATTATGACAAATACTTGTTTTCCCTGCTTAAAAAAGAATGATAGACACTTCATGTTTACTCCCTGTTATTGCACTGAAAGAGCATTGCAAAAATAAAACGACTCACCTTTTGGGAATTTCAGACCTTATCAACAATATAGTTTCTCTCTATTCAGGTGCACACAGTATCTTGTTTCCCTTCTATATATTCCACTAAGTAGAAAGCTTAAGAGGTCATAGTATCATTCATGGTACTTGCCAAGTGACATTTAGAGAATAAATTCTCCCTAAGATTTCATTAGAGTGTTGGAAAAAAATGGTATTCTTACACAGGCATCCTAAACCACGTGCAGTGTATATGGTGTGTCTTCCCTTCTCTTTCCTGACTAGTTTGATTACAGTCATTTGACGCTGCACGTGGAAGGCTGCCCACTACTCTGTGATGGGTCAAGTGCTCATAGTGGTTACAAATCCATCACTTATTTGTTTTCTTTCTAACAAAAGTTAGCATTAAGTATTTCTCACTGTTATGGGGGAGTAGACCAAATAGTGAAGCAGGAATAAGTAAGATAAAAATATTCTTGACAGAAATCTGCTTTCATTCTCACCTCTCACTCTAGTTTTCCACATTATTGCCAGAGTGATGGCTCTTACATGAAAATCTGACTGTTTTACTGTCCTGCCTAAAATCTTACAACAGTTTCATATTACCATTGGGTTAGAAATAAGAACTCCTTAGCAGGACAGAGGAGCCTCTTTATAACCTGGCCCCTGTGGTCTAGTTTCTCTCTCTCTCCCTCTCTTTCTACTTAATCTCTTTTTACTCCACTGCTGGTTTCCTAAATCCATCAGATTTCTTAAGTTCCTTTGTATTTATATGGTATATTGTTAGGTTATCCTAGTGACTGTTAACACAGAAGCACTCACATTTCAGTGAGTACACAAGAGAAGTTAACTTTTCACTCAATGGTCCAGTTCAGCTTTTCCTGGTTCGTGGATGGCTTTCTCCCACCTGGTGTCTCAGGGACTCAGGCTTCCTCAGTGTCGCGACTCTGTCTACCTATAGTACTGTTTTTTCCCCTCCACATCCATCTGATAGATGGTGAAAGAGAAGGGGGAAAGCTCACCTATTTCTTCAACACTGTGGCACACATCACTTTTGCTTATCACTTTTGCTTATCGGTGAGAACCCATCCAAACTCAAGACAACCAGAAACACAATCTCTGGGTGAGCAACCACTTCCTGACAACTATTCTATGCACTGGTGAATCAAAATTCTAGGGAACGTTTAGTTGTCTCTGCTGTTACTCACGTGCTGCTACCCACATGTGCAGCCTGGATCCCAACTCATTCCCTGATTCAGCTCATCTGGACAAATCTTATGTGACCTTTTAAGATTCATCTAAAGCTTTGCATCATTCAGAGGGCTTTGGAGTGTCTCCTCTCTATACTCATATAGCACAGAATCCTTACCAGCTGTCATAGCACATGTCATGTTGTATTATAATTGTTTGCTTATGGATCTTCATTTCACTAACTTCAGCTCCTATAGGACTGGGAACTGTATTTTTATTTTAAATCTGTAAATGTCTGGCACAAAATATGTACCCAAATATGCACATTCATTTATTTAATGTGTTATTAAATAAATGAAAGGCAATTAAATGACTTGATTCACAGAAGAATGGCAAAACCCCCAGCATTTGATTTTTTTAAAGAGTAAACTGTGAATTTATCCTAAAACAAATACATCGGTTCTAATTTTAAACTGAGGAATGTGTACACCTCTAAAGTTTCTTTGCTTTTTTTGTTAATAAATCCATAATATTAAGAGAATTCACATTTATCAGATTACCATGAGCATCCTAACAGTTTGTAAACTTAAAAGTCAAAGATTGTCACTTGAGTCCAACTCTTTATTGTGTGCTATATTGTGTCATTAAAATGTGTTTGGCTGCAGGTAAGGATAAATTTGACTTTAAATAGTTTGAAAAAAATTAGAAAATGTGTTATGTCACATAATAAGTCTAGAATTAGGGTAGGACTTCGCAAGTGGCACAATGGTAAAGAATCCTCCAGCCAATGCAGGAGACACGGGTTCACTCCCTTGGTGGGAAAGATTCCCTGGAGTAGGAAATGGCATCCCACTCTGGTATTCTTGCCTGGGAAATCCCATGAACAGAGGAGCCTGGTGAGCTACAGTCCATGAGATTGCAAAGAGTTGGATATGATTGAGCACCTGAACACACACTCAGATTAGGCTCCGGGATAGGTTGATCCAGGGCTCAGTGAAGTTATTCAAGACCTAGGTTCTGTCTATATCTCAGTCCTATGATCCTGGGGGTTCTGACTGCGTCCTTGGACTGTATCCCCTCAGGGTGACAAGATACCTGCCAGCAAAATGTGGAGAAACATATTGCCTTGATCATGTCCTAAGGGAGAGAGAGTATAAGAAGACTTGTCCCCTAACCATAGCACATAAGTGCTGCCTATTAGTCTGATGGGGCTCTCTCAGATATGTGCTGATCTATGGACCAGAAACTTTCTCCAGGGGAATTCCATCTTCTGACTGATTAGATTACTCAGTATCTGTCACAGAGCCAAGGTTTTCTTGAAGCAATTGGATGAAAAAAAGAGGTGGGTAGCTCTTTTCTCCAAAATCTGTGGGTCCATTAGGAAGGAAAAAAGGAGAGGTACTAAGTGTCCATTGCAAATATTGTAAGAATATAATCTTATCAACTCACAAAGAGTCTGACATGACTTAGTGACTGAACAACAAAAATCTATTGAATTGGTGCCAATGGACGGGTAAACAATTTTCTAAGCCAGGCAATGATCCTTTCTCCTGCCACCTATATAAGTTCCAAATCATATATTTGAAAGCATGGAGTAATGAACATTTTAGATTACGTTCCTCCAGTACAGTTATTTATTCTTTATTTTAGGTCTCGTAATGGGATTAATTTTACGATATGCTACAGCACCAACTGATATTGAAAGTGGAACTGTATATGATTGTGGAAAACTGGTCTTCAGCCCATCAACTCTTCTGATTAATATCACTGATCAAGTTTATGAATATAAATACAAGAGAGAAATAAGCCAACACAACATCAATCCTCACCAAGGCAATGCTATACTTGAAAAGGTAAGGATCCTTTCTATCTGGCCACATATTTTTGTTTTCCAGTGTAAATAAGTGTGTCATATATAAGCCACCATAGAGAGTGCATTCACACACATACAGATGCCCCCTTAAACACCATACTCATGGGGCAATTTCATTTACTAAGTGGTTAATGTCTTGATATGTTCTTATTGTAAGCTCAGTTGTCTGTATATTTCTTCTAGAAGCTGAAAAAGAGTGCTTCTTATTATAACTGTTTTGCAAACCACAGTTACATTAGGGAAAAAGATAATAATAATTCAGCTGACTCTACCTTTAATGTTACTTGATTCAAGTTTTCACACATGTGTTTTAAGTGTTATTGCATATATATATATTGTGGTTGTTGTATATGTTACCAGCTGGCTACTAAGTTTAAATCTCCCTTAAGCCAAAGGGAAAACGAAGGAGAATGAAGACATTTGCACTTGCAAACCTTGATTTAGAATGGCTGACTTTTAGCTGCCAACATAAAACACTGGCCCCTTGGCTGTTTATAAATGCACTGACACATAGTCGCTCTCAAGAGATCTTGACTCCCATCTGTTTAGTTACAGAATCTTAGATTGAAAAAAGAAAAATTGTGAAGTTATTCACCTTCTAAAAATGGTTTTATTATTGCAAATGTGTGAACTGCTTCGGTTATTGGAAGAGAAAATTTCTTTTGCTCTCAGGACTCTGGGTTAGAAAACAGGTGAGGCTACCTTTTTGGTGCCTTGTGTGTGGATCAGTCTTTGTAACAAGTGAATTTGTGTTTAACAACATAAGTGCGTGCTAAGAATCAGGATCTTGCATGACTTAGTCTAGCTTCTTTTGTGTCAGAGCTGAGAAATTCCTTGAAATTATGGAAGTGTATTTTACCACTTTTATTCCATACAGATTTAGTTTTCTTTTAAAATACACCTTTTTCCTCCCTCCATTTTGAGAGATCTGGGGCAGTAGGGGAGATACATGACCTGCCATTTTTCTTCACTCAAGAGGAGTAATTTTTAGTATTTTTTTTCACACTATCTCCCAACTAGCAAATTTCTAGGTTAACTTCCTCCTAGCACTTGGTAAGGGCTCTGGAAAGTCAAACTGATTATAATACTAGCCTAAATCATGCTTAGGGAAGTGAAGCGAAGCACAAGAAAGAAAATTAAATAATGTGTTTCCGAAGTAAACAGGAGCAAATTCTAGATCTTTGACTTTCTTGAGTGATCTCTTCTGTGAGATTCTTTCTATTCTCATGAATAATGGAAAATAATCTATCTTGAAATAAATAATTTTTTAAAGTGAACTTATTAGCAGCATAGGATTTAAACACCCTCGTCTGTTTTAATTTTCTTAGTACCAGAACATAACTTATTTCCCTTCCCTTTTTATCTGCGTTTCTAATCAGCTCTATTTCTTCAAACAGGTTTGAGTCCCACCCCCCACAAAGGTGCTGATAATTCTCTCTGTCATTATAGCAATTTGTTTTCTAACAGGACTGCCTGCAAGCACCTGATCAGAAATTCTGTTATGGTATTACTGACATATTGATTTTTATCAACAGTCAATTACAGTGTTTGCCTTTAAAAAATTAAGGCAAGAGATGGAGAAAAATATGGAGTCTTCTTGGTTTTTTCCTTTGGCTGGATTTTCTCACATGAAATGTTGAATTGACTTTGAACGGTTCAAGTATTTTATAGACTAACTTCTAAAGCATGTGACTTATTGAATCACAATTAGCATTTGTTCCTCTGGGCTTTCCAGGCTGGCCATGGGCAGCTCAGTACCCAGGGTAAATTCCCAAGTTCCTTGCTGGTAGAACAAGGAGCGTCTACTAGTACACTTACCTTATTAGACAACTTTAAGTAGAAAGGATGGTTTTAATAAATGTCCACAGTATATTTTAGCACACATGTGTTGCTTATGTGCTAATGTTAGGGAACCCTACTTAGTCTGTGAAAATGAAATGCCCATAGTCTGTCTTCCTTACTGAGAATTCTCCACCGCATACAATTATTCATATGAATCAAGCAATTGCTCAGTCTATGTCAAATACAAAAGAATTCCAAAATAAGTCCAGTTTTTGAAAGGTTTAACATGGAGTTACAGAGGTAACACGGAATAATGGGAAAAAAATTCAGGACCAGAAAGACTTGTCATCTATCTTTAGTAAGTTCTTTGAACTTCCTAAGCTCCAACTTTCTTATTTGTAAGGTGGGTAGATTAGAACTATTTTGTAGGTTGTTTCAATGTTTGAGTGAGATGATGTATAGAAAGTGCCTGACTGCCATAGGCCTTTTATACTGCATGGCTCTCATTGCCTTGTTACTGCTTCCGCTGCCACTTCTAACACCACCACCACCACCATCACCACTGCATGCCCTTTAAGACCGGTGCTACCATTGCTACTACTAGATAATATGTGAATGCTTAATACATTAAGGATTAATGGAATATATGTTTTTTCCTTTTATTTAATATCTTTGGGGGGGATAAGACCAACATATAGTATATGTTAGTATCTGATTCAGTTCTAAATTATATAGACTATGAGTTTCTTAAAACTTTACAGGTTAGTTGTCATAGATATTTGAGCTTATTAGGGAGGCTTACTGGAGGAGGTGGTACTTGAGAGGGCTTTCAAAGGTGGGTATGGCTTGAATAGGCAGCAGGACTGAGTTCAGAAAGATCTGGGCAGGATTGGAGGATGAGGCTGCAGGAAGTGGTTAACTAGGTGAGAAGGGAAGAGGGCCTTGTGGAGTCTTTGGTTCAATAGAATCTGCTTGATTTATAGGAACAGTGTGAGGAGAAGAATATAAGATTCCAGGGTTTCAGGCCTGGCTGGGAGAATATGAGGGTCCCAGGATAGTGGGAAGGGAGAGAGATTTGTGGAAGAGAGTGGATGAAAATGATCTGCGGATCTGCAATTAGAGAGAGATCATCTAATTCAGAGCAAGAAAAAAAGAACTGACTTCATTACATTGAACTCCATTCTTTAATAGATGAGTAAATGAACTTGAGCACTAAAATTGATTTAGTGCTTTATTCAGTGATTTTCAAATTTGTCTGAACTTTGGAATCACTTGAACAAGCTTCAAAAAATTCTGATGCTTGTATTCTATCCCCGGAGTTGGTGATTTTACTGGTTTGGGGTGTAGCCTGAGCATTGGAAATTTTGGAAGATCACCAGAAGAGTCTAATGCACAGGCAAGTTTTGGAACCATTTATTTAGGTTCTATGTTATGTTTGGGTGAATATAGCAAGGAAATAAATGCCATGTTTCTGCTTCTTCTCACTTCCATTGCTGTGGATCTAACAGCCCCCTTTACACACAAAGCACTTTTCTCACTTCAGGACCTCTACACATGTTGTTCTTAACATATGTTGTCTAAAATGGTCTTACTTCTGCTCTATGGATGTCAGACTACTTCCTATTCCTGGAATCTTGAAATGCCATCTCTTCAGAGAAGGCTTGTCCTGTGATTTTCTCACATTGCATCCTCTCTCTCTCTTTTTTCCTCTCTTTTGTTTCAAAGTACTTTTAGCACATCTGAAATTTGATATGTATTTTCTTGTTTATTAATTATAATTCTTACATTATTTGATGTCCACTAGACTGTATACTTCACAAAGCAGGGGTCCATGCCTTTTTCTATTGACCAATGTGTCCCCAGAGCCTACCATAGAGCCCAGTGCATACTGCTGCTAAATAAATAGTTTGTGGATGAATGAATGAATGGAGGAATCTGAGTGCTTGGTGGAATATATACAGCTGGAATATTTGGAAGATACCATCTTGGAGTTGGTAGGAGAATGGTCCAGATACTTAATGGTTGAAGAGACTAAGATATCATATAATCTTAGTTGTGTTCATATAGATATAAATTCATATACAGAGATATTACATGCTGGGCCCAGGGTCCCAGTAATTATATTACTGGTCAGAGGCAGAACAGAGACCTGTAGCACTTTACTCTGAGTACTGAGTAGTTTATCAAATTTCATACCACTGGACAGGCTCTGGAGTGGCCTTGTGGACAGAGAAGGGCTGAGGCCTGAACAATCTGACACTGAGATGTGTGGGGGGAGATGAGGACCAGTACTAGAATGGGAAGTTTTACAGAATTGCAGAAACAGGTCTAGCACTAGGGTGTCACAGAAGCCATTGGTGTGGCTCCACTGGGTCCTTTTTCTTTGTGGTACAGATTAAAGGGAGTACTTGGCCTTTATTTCTAAAAGTTACAGGATGAGGAAATGAGTTTTACCCTCAGAATGCAGTTTAGGGGCTTGGATGAAATTTCTGACTTTAGGATTTGAAGAGGCTGGAATAAATTCCTGTGCTATATAATCATCTCTTGGAATACCAATAAAAGCACATGTATTTCTGGGATGGTTAGGTCTTGACGTGCTTGGAAACAGCACTGAGCTTGATGGCTTCCTGGGTTTCTTCCAATAATATGGTATAAAACTGGAAAATAGGAGAGCTGTTGGCATTTATATAAGCAGCAGTGTACTGTGCTTTCATACCACATTGTAAACATATAAAATTTTTAAGAATTGCCATATGCCAAGCTTCTTTTGTTCATGCTCAATACAGATAAAAGTGTAGAGAAGAAAAAATATTTTCACTTAAAGATGTGTGAAAACAGTATTTTTCTATATATTTTAAGCAGCTGATGATCTCAAAACAAACTTCTGAGAGACTAAAACTAGAATTATGTTTATTTATATCTATTCAGTTGACATTTCCAGAACTATTTGTCAAATTGTTCTGTGGGTCCACTATATCCTTTAGTAATTTTATCTGAGTGGGGCCTATATTCTATTACATATTGTCTTTACAGACATTAATTTGTTATAAAATATTTAGGAATATAAAAATGTCTACTAGGCATTTTCTGAATTTAATATCAATAGGAAGTTAAAACTTGTTTTTGAAAAAGAACTTTCTCTGTCATTCATCCTTTCATTCATTCCTTCAACACAAGTGAACTGATTTCCATCAGTTT